GGGGGGGGGGGGGGGGCGGCTCTACTGTGTTTTGTTTCTGAGGAGGAGGTGGTTGGGGCTCTTCTTGACATCGCTTGACTTGGCACCTCAGAAAAACAGCTACGGTCCCTGGACTTTCTTCTTCCCAAAATGTAGGAAATGGAGCCCCTGGGATGGATTCACACACAGCCAAATGAGTCTCCCCAGCTCTCTCCGCAAGATGTCACCACCCACGCCAAAGTCATGGCCGAGAACCCCTCCTGGGATGGGGAGAAGACCATCATCATAACCTGCAGGTCAGTCCGAGACGCTGTTCTGCGAGGGGTGGGGGTTTGGGGCAGCGAGTAGCTGACCGGCCACCCTTCACTGCCACGGCTTCTCCTCTTGCAGTTTCACTCCCGGCTCCTGCACCCTAACGGCCTATAAGTTGACCCCCAGTGGCTACGAGTGGGGCAGGCAGAACACGGACAAAGGCAACAACCCCAAGGGCTACCTGCCCTCCCACTACGAGAGGGTGCAGATGTTGCTGTCCGACCGCTTCCTCGGCTTCTTCATGGTGCCAGCGCAGGGCTCCTGGAATTACAACTTCATGGGTGAGTTGGAGAAATGGGGATCCTCCGTCCCTTCCTGCCCCCGTGGCCGCCCTTTGTTGGCCAGCCTGCCCGCCCTCCCGCTTTCGGCCTTTCCCCGTGGGTCCTTCAAACTGGGAGTTGCAGCCTGCTGTCCCCCTTGGTGGCTGGCCAAGGAATGGCAGGAGGAGGCTCGGAAGTGGTGCGGGCACCCTCCAGCCCCCCCCGCATTCCATTTTCCGCTGCCCCCGTGCTCGCATAGGCCTTTTGCTCAGAAGCCGGGAGGGGTGCCCTGCTGCTGCCCCCTTTTGAGAGCGTCCCTGGCCATTCCAGGCTCTGGAGCAGGACTGCTTCTCTGTTACAGGCGTTCGCCATGATCCCAACATGAAATACGAGTTACAGCTGGCAAACCCAAAGGAGTTTTACCACGAGGTCCATCGCCCCTCTCACTTCCTCAACTTTGCCCTCCTGCAGGAGGGGGAGGTGTATTCCGCGGATCGGGAGGACCTCTACGCCTAGGAGGGCAGGAGCTGGCCAAGCCGAATTCCCGAGGGAGGGAGCCTTCAGCGTCCGCACTTCCTCCCCCTCCCTGCCTGAATCTCCGCATTTCATTGGGCTTGCGCGTGATGTGTTTCTGTATAGTGTCAGCATCCCCCTGTGGTTTCAGTTGTTTAATAAAATTTTGTATAAAGGTGTCTGTTGCATAATCTCTCAAAATCCCAACAACTCAATTTCGAGGGATGGTAGAAAATGGGGGGGGCACCTGGGTGGAGTTCCCTAGTTCCCAATGGGTCCCTTCACGGTTGGTTCGTGAACGGTGCCCTGCTCTCTTCTCAGAGGAAAGGAGGGTGGGGGCTGCTTAGACTGATGCTGGCCAAAGGGGATCCTGCAGACTTTCTAGCCGCTGAGCGGAGCCGCGCGGACAGCTCCGGAGGGAACGGAGCCGTTTGTCGGCGGCAAGGCAAGGCAAGGCGCGGTCTGTGTTGACGCCCCCTCCTTGCAAGCAAAATATGTACTTTTGGTTCCGTCGAAACTGATGGTGGGGCCTTTCGCCGCCGCCGCCACGCCAG